TCCATATCTGAGTAGGTCATCACGGTTGGTTTGTTTGGCCCTTTGGATTGCCTCCGCAATCAGGTCTTTTTCGTAGCCTCGGTAAATTAAATGTTTAGCCAGCTCTTCAGACCTTTCTAGGATACTTTCATCGTCGGAGCAAATTCTGCGTATCCTCAGTGCCTGGCTATATGGAATGTCCTTAATGCAGTGTTTTGGATGACAGCTGGTTTGGAGGAGATACTGGTGTTTGTCGGTTGGTTTCGAGTAGATGTCTGTGTGTAATTTGTTTTCCACCAGTCTGGTTGTTGTGTCCAGGAAACATGGTTTGAGTTGGAAATTTCTGCCGTGAATTTTATTGAAGGATGGAAATTGTTTGCCTTTGATATGAAGTCATCCAGACTTTCTCTTCCATAAAGCCACTTCATTTCTATATCATCGATAAAGCGTACCCACTGGTATGGTGTACGCTCAACCGATGCTAAGAGCTGACCCTCAAGTTTTCCCATGAAAATGTTAGCATACGAAGGGGCCATTATAGTACCCATTGCAGTTCCATTGATTTGTAGGTAGTTTTCTTCATTAAATTCAAAGTTGTTGAGTTTTTGGACAAGCTCCAGGAGTTGGACTAAGAAGCGTGTGGGTGGATTGTTTACAGTTCTTGTTACCCATGCTTCGCTACATGCCTGTAACCCTTCGTTGTGCGGTATGTTTATGTACAAAGATGTGACGTTTAAGGAAGCAAGTAATGTATCTGGCAGTAATGGTTCACTAGCTTTGCTTTTTATGAGATAATCTGTCGTGTCTTGAAGAAATGATGGTAATTTGTGGACATGTGGTCTCATAAAATGATCTAAATATTCTGATATCTTTTCTCTGGGGTGCCCGTTACCTGAGATTATAGGTCTGCCAGGGTTTCCTTGTTTGTGGACTTTGGATGATCCCTTGGTGGATCCAGTACGCTTGAAAGGGATGTTATTCGCCATATGATTTTATATTCTTTATATATATATATATATATATATATATATATATATATATATATGCATGCATGCATGCATGCATGCATACATACATACATACATACATACATACATACATACATACATACATACATACATACATACATACATACATACATACATACATACATACATACATACATACATACATGTGTCTTACATATTGTACACGTGATCCTGATACATTCGTGTCGTACTTGAGGCAAAATAGTTTCTAATCCGTAGTCTTCGTCCTGTATCAATTTAGATGCTCATGCATGTGTTATGTTATTTTTGATATTCATCTGAAGAATGCAATGATGTATTGACACATATGCATGTACAGCTGAGTTACGATTACAAGGACATTGAAGGGAATGACACATATGTACGTACAGTTGAGTTTTGAATTCAGGGACACCTTGGACATGCGTGTACAGTTGAGTTTGGAATACAAGGACATTGCTGAGAATTACAAATATTCCTGTACAGCTGAGTTTTGACTGCAAGTATATTGTGGAGGATGACACATATGTCAGTACAACTAAGTTTTGACTGCAAGGATATTGTGGAGGATGACATGGATGCCTGTACAGTTGCAAAGATACCGTGGACAACTATACATATGTGAATACATTGGATAATGTAGACAACTTCTTAGCATATGGAATAACATTAGTAGGAATAACACCTTAGTTCTTTTGTTTGTTTAATTATAATTGTTAAAACATTTTTATTTACAGTGAAAGAAGTATAATATATTTAGACTTCAAATGTTTTAACAATTATAATCAAACAATGTTTTAAGGCGGCGTATCCAGTATGATTCCTTTCAGTGATATAATACTTATCGCTATTGCTAACAACCACAGCTGGAGTTCCGAAACCAGGAAGGAAAAGGAATCATACTGGATACGCCGCCTTAGAACATTGAAACCAAGCGGTCTAAACCAAGAAGACTAGAAAATGAAAACTATGCACTAGTAGAATTTAACATTTTCTAAATCTTCTTATTATCCTTCAATTTTTACTATAAGAAAAACCGGTATAGAACCAAATATCCGGGATATAATCTGCGTTACATATGTACACAAAGTAAAAATAGATGTCGCTTTGGCTTGTAGACTTTTAGGGCATTATACAACGTTTTCAGTTTCCGCAACTAGTCTATACAAGCTGGTTGTATTTATAGTTTTAGCACATGTGAAGACAGAAATGTAGAGGTGTAAAAACACAACGTTTTTGTGTTTATTTGTTTGTCGTAACTATGTGTTGTATTTGCCTTTGAAAAAGACTCATTAAGAGTCGAAAGCGCTTAGGCTAGTTAGTTACTAGTTTCGTACTGTTCGTCGTCAGTTTATTGCATATATATATATATATATATATATATATATATATATATATATATATATATATATATATATATATATATATATATATATATATATATATATATAAAGAATACAAATCATATGGCGAATAACAACCCTCTCAAGCGTACTGGATCCACCAAGGGATCACGTTTGTCAGGGATTAATTAAAATAGATGCAATAAACTGACGACGAACAGTACGAAACTAGTAACTAACTAGCCTAAGCGCTTTCGACTCTTAATGAGTCTTTTTCAAAGGCAAATACAAAACATAGTTACGACAAACAAATAAACACAAAAACGTTGCGTTTGTAAACCTCTACATTTCTATCTTCACATGTGCTAAAACTATAAATACAACCAGCTTGTATAGACTAGTTGCGGAAACTGAAAACGTTGTATAATTCCCTAAAAGTCTACAAGCCAAAGCGACATCTATTTTTACTTTGTGTACATATGTAACGCAGATTATATCCCGGATATTTGGTTCTATACCGGTTATTCTTATAGTAAAAATTGAAGGATAAGAAGATTTAGAAAATGTTAAATTCTACTAGTGCATAGTTTTCATTTTCTAGTCTTCTTGGTTTAGACCGCTTGGTTTCAATGTTCTAAGGCGGCGTATCCAGTATGATTCCTTTTCCTTCCTGGTTTCGGAACTCCAGCTGTGGTTGTTGGCAATAGCGATAAGTATTATATCACTGAAAGTGTGGCCAGGGGAGGAGAAGTGTTCTGCGACCTTTTTTCTGTACAGCTTTTTTGTCATCCAATCAGATCTATGAAGGTTTATCCTTATGTGTAGCTTTTCAGTTTATCCCACGTACTGATGGCCACAGATCTTACATGTGATGAGATAAATCACATTCTCTGTTTTGCACGTTTTGTTTGGACCATGTATGTTTAGTTTTTCTTTAGTCACTGTGCTAGTGAATGTCTTGGTCTCTATCATATGTTGAGAGGTTTTACATCTTTTATCGCCACAGGGTCCAGATTGACTAGGTTGGTTTTGACTAGCGATTGTTGTTAGCTTGGCCCTGACTAGGATGTCCTTTAGGTTTTTTGGTCTCCGGTAAGCTACTACAGGTTTGTTCGGGAGTATTAGGTTTAGTATGTCTGACGATTGCACGGTTGGCCAGTGGTTTGCGATGATTTTACCTACTTTGGGATTGTCTGGGTGATAGGTCAGAATAAATGGTATCCTATCAACCTTTTCGTTCTGTCCATATCTGAGTAGGTTATCACGGTATATATATATATATATATATATATATATATATATATATATATATATATACATAGCCAAAACTTGTTATCACTAATTGTGTATCTGTGTAGTTTGTATTAAACATTTGCTATTTCATCTCCAACAGTCACACTTATTTCAGTACCATTGGAGTGGATATAAACCTGAATTGGTACGATAAACATCCTGTCATTAGTCTGGTTTTCCCATTTGACACGTTAATGTATGTATCGATTTTCACAATAATTATTCTAATCTTAACAAGAAAAGCAATAGTGTCTCACACATATATGGATATAGTTGAGTTTTGAATATCTCTATATTTTTTTCATTTTTTAATACCAATTTTATCAGCTCATCTCTTTTTAAGATTTAATTTATGGTTGTATATTTTTCTCTAGTAATATTTGTTCAACGTCATTTCAATCATTCCTCATTTGTTTCCAGCTTTGGCTTCATTTGCCTATTCTATCAATCTGAAGTTGGTAATACTCGAGTAACATTATTTTAAAGTGGTGTTTGAATACTCAAACATTTTCTCTTTACATAATTAAACTAATGTAACATCTTTAGCAGTTATAACATAAATCTTTAATTGATGCATTGTGTAAGCTGTATCTGACGATTTTACTGTGCTTTCATAACATTCTTCGTTTAAATTCGTCATCTCTTTCTTTTTGGGTTTATTAACTCTTCTGTAGTCTTGCTTGCCGGATTAGCAATTAGGTTGTTGTTCAACAATTATTATTCAATACTTTTAATGTCAGTAGAAAATGGTTCTAAATGAATTACTTTTAAAATTGGTAACGAGCATCTAAAATGTACTTTTCTTTCTTGTCAGCCTGCGTCTATAAATCTACAATTTGTTATATCTTGCATTACCACTATCTTCAATAGCTGTTACTATGATGCGAAAGTGATCTCTTCATATTGTGATTTTTTTCCAAGTTGCCATTTTCCAAAATTTAAGGTATCTGGTTATCAGCCTGTTATTGCACAACAGACTATTCGATGTATCAGTAAATTTGTAATGCCTTTTGTCAATGCTAAAGTAGCATATAAGTGTTTGACCATATTGTGGCAGGCTTCTGGTGGTTTTTTGCAATCGTTATGCTGATATTTCATCTTTCTTTATTCCACTCTGCAACTCTTTGAGTGTTTGTGTGTGTTTGTGATTTAGATTTTTAACGTCGCTTTAACACTTTTACAGCCATATCGCTACGATGTCCGCAATGTTACAGTTTATTGTGATGTCTAGCACTGGTGCATCATGTCGCAGACATGTAGCATGACGTCCTACCCAGTCACATTCTCCTGACACCAGGCCGATTGGTCATAACACTAACTTCTTAATGCTGAGCGCCAAGCGAGGCAGCTGGTAGTACCATTTTTAAAGTCTTTGATATGACTCGGCCACGGTTCGAACTCGCGACCTCCCGTATCCGAGGCGGACACTCTAACCACTAGGCCATCTTTGTAATAACTTGGTAGCAGATTCACCTTGAGATCTAAAATGTAAAATATTCCGAAAATGAGCTAAACTGATGTTTCTCTGCAAAGCCATATATTTAACACTTGTTTGTCTGTGTTTAAATAAAGCGTTTGTATATAAGTACACACATATTATGCTAATGTTCAATCTGCTTCAGTATCGATCAACAATTGTCGGTAATAACCGTTTACACTTTAGAAACGTGTCCTCGCAAATAAAATCGTAAAATGATCTAACAGTGTTCGCTTTGCTAAAACATTTATTTACCACTTACCACTACTTGGTATGTAAATAGAGTCTATGTTTATAAGCATAAATCTAAAGGTTTGCTATTTTATTTACGAAGCTCTTGTGTTTGGCGTGAATATATGCATTCAAAAATCGTTAAATTTATATTATTTCTTTTAAGTTAGGTGACAATTATCTTTGAAGAGGTTGTATCATTAAAACAACGTTTATTTAGATTTTCCAAGTTTCGCCTTTTGTTTCGGTTGCAATGGGGACATTTCCAATTGTTTCAGTTTATGCTCATTACATGCAACAGTACCATAATAATGCAAACCTCAAATTAATTGCATGATATAGGGGATCTACGATAGTCCAGACTTAATAATTACATTAAACAAATGCACATACTAATGCAAAAATTGGATTATTTACATGATAAAGGGATCAACAATAGACCTAACTTCATATTAATTACATGAAACATAGGCAAAAAATAATACCAAAATCGGATTAATTACATGAGTCAGAGGCAATGTAAATGTTCAATTAATGACACATGCTGAACATTAACGGAAACTTCCTAAGTAGCATTTTTCTTCATCGAGGAACTAATTCTAATGAGCCACAACATAAGAGTTACTCAATCTTCCATCAAATTAATTTTGACGTAGATAGTTAAACTGATAAAAATTAATATGTCCATGGAGATGCTTTAGACAGAGATCGTGTTTATACATGTTGCTTTTTTCATTTCACTGATCTAAGTAAGTGTTACGGGATATCAAATAAAATAGTCTTCAAAAAATAACTAAGGAATATGAAGGAAAGAGATCGTGATTAACAATAATAAGTCTGAAAACTTGAAACGGCAAACTTCATTAATGAGGAAAGATTGAGTTTTATTATTTCAGTAACTGTTTGTAATGTTAGACAACGTTGCATAATAAAGAGATTCATTTTGCGATGACTAGAGTAAAAAAAAAAAAGATGGAATTACCGACATAAACAAACAAAGCAAACTGTACAAGTTTAATTAGCGAAGCCTTTTTACAGCATTTTAATTTCCTTTATTTTAGTTAGCATTTTAAATGAATATACTTCAGTTATTGAACTAGTACTCAGTGTAAAAGAGCAAGTCTATTTTAAAAATGCGGTAAAGTATATAATTATCTTTATTGTTTTTCAGTCATGCTTGCATTCAGTTTATAAATTGTATATGTTGTCAATTTGATGGAATTTGCAAATTGTTGATGTCACAATGTCACATAAAACATTTGACAATGATTTTGAGACCGTAGCAACTTTTGTAGGTATATAACATTTACAAAATTCATGTTTTTATTGCTTGCTTTTGGTTTACATCTTTCAAGCATTTTATATCAAGTTTATGATCAACTCTCTTTGTTCCATTTAAAACAGTGTGTTTAATTCCTGTTTCAACTCTCTGAAAATCGCAGGATATCTTAACATGTTGGTTTATTTGACAAAGCTACATTTATTTTGTCTTCTTTGTAACTTCAAAGGAAATTGTTTTATTATCATGACCATGCTTGCATTCCATCATAATTTGTAAATAAACGAACCTTATCTCTTGATACTGCGATTGTTTCTTATGTCAAACGCACAAAATATTTGCTACTTTTATGTAAACTATTTCATCTGTTATAGTAAAGCAGCATTTGAGTTGTTATTTCTGTCTGGAAAACTGTTTTCCTGAATATGTGGCACTCTAATCATTGCACAATTAATGGGTTTGGAAAATTGTCTAGGGACTTCAGTTCATTTTGTTTTTAGAAAGAAAACTACAAGTGGTCAAAGGATGTAATAGTACAGAATGACGAAATGAAAATTTCAAACATTTAAAGTTGTCCTTCCCCAAAATGTCATACCCACTGTCATGTTTCCAGCACAGAGTTTGCTTTTATCATATGTTATGATCCAGAAATGTTAATATATTGGGACACAAAAGTTCAATTATCATGATTTCAAATTGTGAAAATAAGAGCGATTCAGTTTTTAATTAGCAAAATTAGTATCCATCGGACATCTACAAAAGGAAAAGAATCAAGTCATATTCTCCTAACACCAGGCCGATCAGTCCTAATACTAACCTCTTAATGCGGAGTGCTCTGCGACGAAGCTGTTAGTATCATTTTTGTAAGTCTTTGGTATGACTCGGCCGGGGTTCGAACCCGCGACCTCCCGCATCTGAGGAAGTTGATATTACCATTTATATTGGGTTTAAACCAGAGTATTAATCGTATCTTTGAAATAACTTGAACGGCCCTGTGATTGTAACTGTCAATTACAGACCCATTGCTCTATTCTATTTAGTTTTCTTGAATCAAATTAAGGAATATTTGGTATCCACTGTGTCCCAGTTGTTCCTTTGTATGTGTTGTCCTAAACGTTAGCAAAATCTGACATCCCAATTATGATAATTTCTTATACTGTGTAGATGTTTGTGACAGCGCCGCAATGTAGCATCCAAATATTGGTATCTGCATGCTTTCCATTACGGTCGAAATGTCATAAACACAATCTGACTTTTAAAAAAGAAAACATTACTGTCCAAAATGTGGTTTCTAAATTAAGAGACTAATGTTTCATTGCCGCAGTACATAGAGTTTTGTCTCGATTGATGACGTCCTTGACTCGTTAGCCACGATACGGCACAAACATGAACGTTACGTTCCAGGGACACTCACCATGTCAGCACCGTCACTTGCATAATATGAAGAGGGTGGCGCTGGATTCTGCAAAGTCAAAGATTGTGGTAATTATCACCGTGGTATATGTGTCTCTGGATCCAGGTACATGTTGCTATATTTTTTTTCACAATTTAGGTGATCCATAAATATTATCGCATTAGAAATTATACGTTTTTGAAACTTTTTGAAAGCTATATAATTGCCTACCCATTTGCTATTACTTTCCAAATGTTTCTCGACAAAATAACGAGAATTTGGCTATTATAATCATAATATTTATATCAATTGAATACACTGTTAATAATTAGTATTTAAAACAAAAATGTGATATGTTCTTTTGCGAAAAATTATTTTTAACGAATTGTGAAGAATCTGAAAAATCTGTTTTCGTAAACACGTAGTAATGTTCTACTCCATGGCCAGAAGGGAAGATAGAGAGAGAGAAAAAAGGGGGGAATTCGGACTCTCTCAAAGATAAGGTGTCATGCGTAATGGTGTCGATACGGCTACATTTTTGGGGGAAGCTCTGGCAACGAGAGGTAGCGGAGATCGCTGCAAAAATAGACAGACACTCTTCTCTGATATGTTCTTTAACCTACGTTATCTGCATGAAAAGTATAAAACAATGAATTTTCCAAATGTATCCAGAAGAAATACAAATAGAGCACAGTGACGGATGTATCAAATAAAACTTACTTGATCAATTTATGATAGTTCTGACAAATTAATTTATAATTACACTTTGCAGCTGTTATTAGTTTTCTTTACATCAATAGAATACCGCATCAGACTTATAAAATAAAATAATTACTATTTAATTAAAGACATCTTAATGCAAATTTTATCAAATAAACATTTAATTCAATTTTGCAAAGATAACTTTTTCGATGCTTAGAGACAAGGAAACGTGTTAATCATAAATTGCAAGAAATTCGTTAGTTTTATGACTTCCTCGTACACGATTTTGGTAAGTACGTAAGTGCATTTACTAATACCTAAATGCTCTCAGTTCAAATCGCAGCAGTATGTCATTTATCAGAATAATGTCATGAAATACAATAATGATAGATGTTTAAAGTAAAACAAAATAGTTTTCATGTTACAGTAATGGTATTTAAAAATATAGAATAGTGAACACCATAAAATAACAAATCATTGTGGTAGCAGATTTATCAGCCGTCATCAGTGTTACATGGTCCGGGAATTACATTAAAAGGCAAAACTATAAAAACCATTGAAGAAAAAAAAGGGAAAAAAGCATCATCATTTATCTAGGAACATAATCACGTCTTAGTGTAAATATGATCTAAATAGCGTCTGCAATGAATTAAAACATTACCGATTATAAATAGTCAAAATGAATAAATTATTTTAACGTGTCTGTCTAATTATACTTATCAATGTAATTCTTCTTGTTTGTGTAATGTACTTGTTTATGTAATTATACATATCTACGTAATTATACTAGTTTCGTAAATATATGTGCCAATTTAATATTACTTGTTTTTATAATTACACTTGTCTATGTAATAATACTTAAATTCAAAATATTGCACCAACCTTAGGGAAGTAAAATGCCTATCAAGCACTGATAGTTTTGCATCTTTGATATTGCAATGTCTTTAGTTTATACTAAATTATTGATTTTAAACAAAATCTTTCGTCCTACGATGTTTTACAATCAATCATCCCTCGACCTGTTAACGAGGCTAATAAATAAATACTTGTTCAAATTTATTTAATAGACTCAATCTTACTGAGAAAACATAGCATTACTAATTATCTTAGCTTTTGAAAAAAAATTCGAACATGTTTGCTATTGAAACTGATTGCTCAGAGTTGATCACAGGGACATTAAACAGTGTATTTGAACTAGTTCCCTTTGTCTTGTACTGAACACTCGACTGCCTCAGTCTACTTAATCTCGGTTTACATGCCAGACAAACTACTTCATCCTAGACACAGTTAGCAGACAATAAACCAGATGACTGCTAAAATAGAAAGTTTTAACGAAATAACGATTGCCTGGCTTGTGAATTATA